GTAACTTTGGCTGGAACACTGAGGAGGGGGGGGGGGGGGGGGGAGGGGATCACGTTCTTCATGTTAATTTTGGACAAAGGAAAGTAGAAGCGTTCACGTTTCACAGCATGTTCATCTCCAGCTTTTTCAGCCCCTCTGTGTTCCTGAAAGCGTGTGATTTCCCCTCCGTAAAGCCTGCCCCCACCGCAGAGCTGCTGAATCTTATCTTTTTATAGCCGAACATTTCAGAACAATAACAAATGTGACTCTGCACTGAGACGAACTCCCCTGCTCAGAGCCAAAGAGCCTATAGCGTGCACACAGTCAAAAAAAAATCATATTCACAAGCCAAGGTTGCTCTGGTGCAGTGGCTTGAATCTGTGGCTAATAATCTGCACGTTTGTAAACAAAGATGGATGCTGTGCCCCTTCTGTGTGTGTAGGCTGATGTACCAGCGAAACGAGGATGACGAGGAGGAGGCGGCCCGCGAGCGAAGGCGCAGGGCTCGTCAGGAGAGGATGAAGAGCAAGGACTTCGAGGAGCCGGTCACTGTGGCAATGGAGGACGAGGCTTTGGATAGCAACAGGTAGCCCTCAGTAGGAGGACGCTCTCCTCGGCAAGAGAGCGTGACGGGAAATAGCCAGAGCAGAAATTCGAGTTAAAAGAAAAGTGAGTTTGTTTCTGCTCTGATGTTGAGGAGATGTAAAAATGAGGCATCAGCTGGCTGAGTGTGAGAACGGGGCAGAAATGTTACGGTCTGTTTTTAGAACTGGGCTTTTGTTTACTTTTCTATAAATGCGTTTATATAACGGCGAGATCCTCATAGGAAGTGCATGTGGAAATCCACAGATTTACAGCAGGCTGCGTAAATATTTATAATTTCAATGGGAATAGCGGGGCTAGTCAGTGTCTCAATGAGACTAACCACACTGAATTAAATTTAATGCTGAAAGTTAATGATTACAGTAGACATACCTGAATCTGGATGGATCTAATTAATAAAGAGAGAATTGTTTTGATCCATTAAGAACAGTAATGACACTCAATGAAAATAAGTATGGTCAGTGCCACTTTACAATAAGGCTACCCATATAAAGGGTTTATGAATGGTTTATAATCTGGTTATTAGTTAGGTTGTAACATTTATTGTAAATTATTTTAAACAAGTTATAACAGTTTTCTTTTTATTAATGAGTTGCTACCATTTACAAGTGGCAAAAGGGGCCCTTATTGTGTGGTCAACATCAGTAATCGCCCTCTCCACAGCGCCCCCTCATGGGGGTGTGGAAAAACGCCTCACTATGTTGTTTGGCGAGCGATGAGGCTGTCCACTTTTAAGATGCGTTTTAGATGTTTTTCAAATTTGACTTGTTGATTTTTCATCCCAGCGTTTTACTGACCTGCGTTAAATCGCGTGTCCGCCACCCCGGCAGCGTGGCGGAGAGGGACGCGGCCGGCGGGAAGGGGGACGCGGCCGCCCACAATGACGAGGAGGGGGACCATGCGCTCCTGGAGAGACTGGCCAAGCGTGAGGAACGCCGGCAGCGCAGGGTGCAGGAGACGGCAGAGAGGCAGTGGCGGGAGCCCGAAAGCAGCCAGCCCGGCGAGAAGGAAGAGGAGGAGCCTGAGGAGGAGGAAGAGGAGGTGCCAAGGAGGTCCTTCCGGGGCGAGCAGGTTGGTTATGTTGGTTTTGATTTTGCTCACTGTATTTTATGGGTTTTATGAATTCACCGACAGGGTGTATGTGAGGCAGAATCAGGGGCACAGCTAAAAATTCTGTGACCCCTGACAAAATATCACATTTATTCCCCCCACGGTATATTTTTCTGGGTGTGGGGGGCCCTGCTGGTATTTATTGAGGCCCCTATAAAGTGCTGTGCCCCTTAAATCTACCAGGGTCATTCATGCCCCTCTGAAGCTCCTGGGTGTGGGGTACTGGTGTGTCAGCTTTGGGGGAGTCGGGGTGGGGGGGGATAGTCTGTGGGGGCTAATCAGAGTGGTGCCCTTGCTTCACTTCGTAGGAAACGGTATCGGCGCGACCGGCCAGGTCCCATACAGAGTTAAGCGAAAAGCCTGTGATTTCCGACGACGATGCGGAAAGCGCCATATCCAGGCCAGAGGCGGAAGAGGAAGAAGGAGGCGTTTCGGGGAACGAAGCTGAAGGGGGCGCTGTAGTCCCCCTGGGGGAGGAGGATGGGGAGGAGATGAGACTGGTGGAGGTCGAAGGGACCTCAGAGGAGGAGTTAGGAGAGCAGGAGGTGCCAGGGGAAGGTGCTGAAGGAGGAGGAGGCCTGTCTGAGCAGGAGCTGGTATGGGCTCCTCTGGCCCCGGAGGTGGCCTGTCTCTCTGACCTCGGAGGTGGCCTGTCTCTCTGGCCCCGGAGGTGGCCTGTCTCTCTGGCCCCGGAGGTGGCCTGTCTCTCTGACCTCGGATAACTCAAACTCATCCGTACTCATCTGCGGGGCCTTTGACAGGACTGAGAGTTGAGTTATCCGGACTCTGCACTGCTTCTTCGTGCTCTTATATGCTCACGTATGCCGTGTGATCACTGCGTGTCACGATATGGTCACGGCACGTTTCTGAAGGCACGGTTCAAGCACAGTGTGGTCACCGTGTGGGTTTGTCTATGTATCATGAGGCCGTTTCGTGAAGGCAGGTCACAGTTTGGTCGCTTGCAGCACGCTGACACTTATGGCCTCGTGGCGGAGCACACTGCGGGATTTCCAAGCAGAAAGGCATGCGACAGGCCGGAATAGACGATAATCCCCGAAACCGTGCTTCTCCTCCACTCCGAGCCGCTCACGGTTTACAGGATGTTGTAGACCTCCCAGTGTCTCACAGACGTCTCCTGTTTACATCAAGGTCTGCGAGGAGATGCTGAGGAGGTCCTTTTCTCGGGATGAGGTAAGAGTTTCTCCTTTTTATCATCTTGCTTCATTTCCTCCAAACACTTGAGGCCATAAATTCCAGGCTATAAATGCTACGCATTTCTGCTATAATGTGACAGATGCGTCGCTGTAAAACCTTTTTACAGAATCGTGTAATGTTTATAGAAAAAATTAACATCCACTTGTAACCTAAATTTCATTTCAAAACACTTTACGATTACTTTAGCTCAGGGGTCTCCAACTCCGGTCCTGGAGAGCTACTATCCAGTAGGTTTTCTGTCCCACTTGGCTTCTGATGAGTCACACCTGCTCCTGGTATTTACCTGAGAACAGGTGTGGCTCATCAGAAGCCAGGTAGGATAGAAAACCTACTGGATAGTAGCTCTCCAGGACCGGAGTTGGAGACCCCTGCTTTACCTTATCTTGTACTCTTAAAAATTAAGATGAAAATTTCAGATTTTTAAATTTTAACTCACTCTTGGATGCATTCTTGTCCCCTTGTTCACTCATATTTATAGCAATGGAATCGATTTAGTGAAAACTTTTGCACATCTAAAACTAAAAACATGGGCTAGTTGCACGCTGAGCGCAGTTCTTCACAGATGGGCGCGTTCAGGTGTGTTACACTGAAAATCAAACTGGTAAGGGGTGTGACTGGTGTAAAAGCCTTGTGAGCAGCGGGTCTTATGTAAGCCTGTGTCCCCTGTTTTCCGATGGGCTGCTTCGCGTTTTGGCTTGTAAATGAAAGCCTGCCTTTGAACATATTCGTCATGCTGCTGTGGAGTAAGTTCTCCTCTTTCCTCCAATGTACAGGAGACCCCAGAACAGCCCAAATGGTCCCTTAGAAAAGAGGAAGTGTGAATATCGGGACACTCCTTATTGGGGGGAGGTGGGGAGGGGGGGGGGGAGGCCTGTGGAAGCTACTGATCTTTAATCCAGACATCCGACCCCTCCCGCAAATGGACAGCAGCTCCCTGACACCCGCAAATGACGCGCAATGTCCCGGAGATCTGTCCTCCTGCTGTTCAGCCGTGGTAAAGTTAACCGGCAAGAAGTTTTACTGCTGCAGCCTCGCCCCAGATTTTACCACTGCTGGCCCCGTCAGCAGTATATACATATATATATATACATACGTTATTACTGTAATACTAGCCAAGTACTGGCCCGTGCCCCCACCCTCCCGGATGCCCCTCATCTGCCTCCCTGAAATTGAAATCCCTAACATGGAATGTCTGTTAATGAGAGAGAGCTTTATTCCAGTGTTGTTTCGAACCATTACCCAGAGCAAATCAGTCTATGGACTCACCATTCAGTACATGGACATGTCTACTGTGTGACCTAAACTGGTGAAGAGCGTAAGGCGTTTGTGTGAGGCGTCTTTAAGCATGTGGCTAAGGGAGGGCGTGTGGAGGCGGGACTTCCTGTTGAGTTCCTGGGTCCTGTGCCGTCATTGGCCAGCAGAAGCCGGCCGGGGATCCGGAGCCTGCCTCGCCCCAGATGGAAAACTCTCCACAGTCCAAGCAGCCGAACGGAGGTCTGAATGACGACTTCACGGCCAGACACCGGAAACCGGAAAGGACTCTGAGGTAGGCCAGGCCAAAGCCGGACTAACAGGCAGGATTTCCCTTTTTTGTCGTGTGTGTGTGTGCGTAATATGTATAACTGTGTGCATACGCAGCCGGGGGAGCACGCACTCAGCTGAGGAGGAGCAGGAAGATGCAGCCCGGCAGGAGGCAGAGCGCAAGCTAGAGGAGCTGAAGCGGAGGCGCGGCGAGACAGAGAGCGAGGAGTTCCAGAGAATGCGGCAGAGGCAGCAGGAGGCCGAGGCCGAGCTGGAGGACCTCAAGAGGAGGCGGGAGGAGAGGAGGAAGGTGCTAGAGGAGGAGGAGCGTGCCAGGAGGCAGGAGCAGGAGGACAAGAAGGCCAAGGAGGAGGTGGGTGACATCTAGGATAAATGGGGAGGACTGCTGTTGTACCCTTGAGGGAGGTGATGTGTCTGCTTTGATTAGCTGGTTAGCAGTTGGGTTAGTGGGTTTTTAGAAATCATTGTGTGTGTGGGGCAGGAGGAGAAGAGGAGGATGAAGCAGGAGATCGAGAGGAGGCGAGCCGAGGCGGCGGAGAAGAGGCACCGGGTGGAGGACAGCGCCGACGGCGAGAGCAGGAGGCCCTTCCAGTGCCTGGGGCCCAAGACTGGATCCATGAAGGTCGGGCCCCGCAGCTGCAAGCGCTCCCACGAGGGAGGGCGTCCGCCTTTGACCCGCGCCAAAAATATGCCCACACTGCTGCTCCCTTCCTGGGAAAACATAGGACTGGCTGCCACAGAGAGATCCGAGGCATTGCGGGATTGGTCCACCAGGACAGAGGGTGAAAGGAGCCGTTTGTGCAGTTCAGTAGTTAAATAAATAGTTTAGATACTGAAAAGAGTTAAATGTTAGGATTTGTCTAAGATCTCAGCCAAAGTAATATTGGATTAAATTGTAAAGATCACGAATTAGACAAAAGCAACAGTAACCTTGGTAACTTGGTGCTGGTAATCACTAATCTATGGTGCTGTTCACACCCTCTAACCAGCAGAATGCTTAACTAATACTAGTAACCAGGCCCTAGCGTTTCCTTCTCCTCTACACAGGTTCTTGTCCTGCACGTTCACAATCCTCAACTTTGGCAGATGGCGTCATTGGAAGGACGCTTGGAAACGCTTAGGTTAACGGAATTAATTGTGCTTAAATATGGCCATTTGAGATGAGATTGAGGCTGGGGAATTTCCTGTCACGAGTATTTTGGGAACTCCCACATTAAGCCGAAGTGTAGTGAGCCATTTTTTTTTTTTTTAAACACTGCAGGAAAACTTGCTGTTTCCATCTTCTGCGGTAATTTATCATGAGGACGACAGTCTTGTTCCCACAGCTACAGCTGGCTGTGTGAGGCTTTGCTTTTTCTGGCCAGATGACAGTGACGGTTTTGGGGAAGGGGGGGGGGCACGCAGTCACGTTTCCCATCACGAGCCGCGGGGGGGTGGACGTCCAAGCGGTGCTCGCTTGCCGGGCCTCGAGACGTTCCGCCCGTGACCGGCAAGCCAGAAAAACGCAAAGCTTCCCAGGGGCGCCGCAATAAATCTAAAAAATTTCACGGCAGATGAATCCAGGTCATGGTTTTGGATGAATGCTGAGGCACACGGTTGGTGCACGGATGCATTTGCGTGGATATATGGGAACTGTGAGTCACGTGCTTGTCCGTCTTCTCCCTAAGAAAACCATGGGGGTGGGGGGGGTAGCGCGGAGTTTCACAGACCTAAGATTGTGTTTTATCAGACTTGCATACGCATAGTGCAGTAAACACAGCCTTGTGTGTTTTCCTTTCAGATCGGGGAGCGGGCGGAGTTCTTAAACAAGTCAGCCCAGAGAAGGTCAGTGCATCTCCGGTCACCATGTCTCACTCCTGTTGACACCGCAGTCAAAACACACAAATTTACTGAATACAGCGCGGAACAGCCATCATCTTATGTACTGTAAATCAAGTAGTCATGGACCTAGCTGCCCCCACTACACGTACACACACACACACACACACACACACACACACACACACACACACACTGGTATTCATATCCTTAAGAGAACATAGGCAAGTCACTGCAGTAATAGCAACTAGGAAGTAGCACAATGCCTTTGTGCAGTTAAAAAAGAAAATCTGACATTACAAAAATGATTCTAAATTTCTTTTAACCACTCACGCCATGACCCCTACCTTTGGGTCGTGACCCCCCTGTTGAGAAGCGGTGCTTAAAAGACTGCCAGGTGTCAGATGTGTCCCCCCCCCAGGGCTCTGACGACCTGCACCTCCCTTTGTTTACTGCAGTTCCGTGAAGACGTCGCACTCCCCCATCGTGTCCAAGATCGACAACCGACTGGAGCAGTACACCACTGCTGTTCAGGTAATGCGGTGGTTTACACCTGCAGACAAATAATCAAAAACTCATTGAAGGACTGAGGTGTGACGCAGCTGTCTGTTTGTCTATAAACCACTTGGAGAGTAACACCATCCTCTTCTGTTGTGTAGACCAACAAAGAAGTCAAGGCCCCCAAGTCGGCAGCCGTCGACCTGCCTGTGGTAACAGACGGAGTCCGCAACATCAAGAGCATGTGGGAGCGAGGGAATGTGTTCAGCTCTGCCGGAACCCCAGGCTCTACTAACAAGGTTGGGCTCTCTGCTGCTCCCTATGGGCTTGGAGGTCTAAGTTCACCCGCTCAGTCTTTAACCCTTAGTCGCCTTTTTCCGATCTCCTGCTGGTTTCAGGAAACAGCCAGCATGAAGATAGGTGTCGCCGGAAGGATCAATGACTGGCTGAACAAGGTCCCAGAGAGCAGCAAAAGCGGGGGAGGGAAGCCCGTCGTAAGTCATCTCGGCGATTAGAGCACGTTGGCTGTCCTGCGAGAATGTCGAAAGGGGACAGGAATCCCAGTGACAGCAGGGCGTAACGTTTGGCCACCAGACGTGCTTCGCCATGGGAGTCGAAAGCCTCACAAAAGGTTGCGGGGTGTTTTCAGTTCGCGGAAACAGCGTAGAGGAAGCGTTTTATGGTGGGCCGTTGACGGATAGCAGGCGCTGTACAGATCAGCCCCATGGTAAACGAGAAGCGCTCCATGCCGGGCGAGTAACATTGAGTAACGAGTAACATTGAGTAACGAGTAACATTGGTGTTTATCAAGCAGCTTATCTGCAGCCTCACCGTCACAAACTTCTGAGGGCTACAGGTTATTTCCTGTTTCTTGACTCAACCATTTGTGGAAAAAATCATTGTTTGGTTAGAACAAACATTTTTTCTTTATTGGGAAAAAAATGACCAGTCAAGTCTTTATACCTGTTGAAACAATTACTCCAGTTGTTTCTAGAGCACCAGAACTTAATTAAAACCTGGAGACAGTAAGATTTATGGTGTGGTATCATTGCTTGTCAGCACAATAGGGGAATCCTTAATCTATATTACTAGAGCTCCCTCTGCTGGATGGATAAAGTATCAAACAATTAGCAGTTACACCAAGCAGTTCAGTTATAAAGGGCTCACTATGTGTGTCTTGATGTTTCCCCCTCACTCCTTTTCCTCTTATCTTTTGTCTAGATTGCTTCTTTTTCCTGTCCTCTTTTCTCTCTGCGGTGTTCCCTGACGGTTCTTTATCCTGAAGGATTTCTCTGTTCCACTTCTCTAGCTTTGTGGTCCAGGTCAGGTATTGTACAAGTTCTAGAAACCTACTACTGCATCCACTCTTTCTGCTCTTTAACATAGTTGATTTCAGTTGACAGAGATCAGGAGGCATCTGTGAGTCTCCCTTGAGCTCACAGTGGTGGAATCTATTTGGGCTGCGGCAAATTGTGTACGGCCTGTACGCTATTCCGCACGTTTCCCTCCTGGACAGCTTCATATACTTTTGTGTTGCTGTGGTTGACAGGACCTGAGGCCTGGTGATGTCACCAACAAGCGTAACCTCTGGGAGAACAAGGGCTCCGCCCCTGACAAGGTACGCCCCCTTCAGGTGGTTTAGCCGACTCGCAGGAAGACATCATTTTTGGCTTCATCTATGTTTAGGATGGATTCAGTTGCCCTGTTAGGAGGTGTCATAACTTGGAACGTGGTCTTACCTTTGTTTTGTCTCGTTTTCAGTACCTTAAAACCCCACTGAGTGAAACAGGTCGGATTTTGACTCTGAGTGTATGTTGTGGTCACTAAGGTTCACTCAAAGCTGGTTGCTGCTGAAATCCTCTGACTGTAACATCCCAGGACAGAAAATGGTGCTTCAGATCCCTGCATGACCTTTAACATCTTACTCACTCAGCCGACGGGCACCAGACGGGGGAGATAATGACACTTTTGCGAGCGGCCAGTCGAAGGCCGTCACGGCTGCCTGTGTATTTGCCTGTGTATTTGGCAGATATGGCAAAACCGGTTGCGTTCCCCCTCATTTGAGTGTTGAGGCGTGTTGAGGAGGCAGCTTTCTGTCTTCTCTGAAGCGTGTGTTGTGATGTTGCCTGCATGACAGAGTGCTTTTGAGCTTGGTGATGGTATCTCTCACAGCACTGACACACGTTACGCTGTTGGTTTGCACATGGCGGGGGGGGGGGGGGGGGTGAAATTGATCCAAATTTAGCGTAAGATGCCAGTCAGAATGCAAGCAAAGGTCGGACTCGCAGGGGAAGACGGACGTGGGTTGCAGGTCAGTGAGGCTAACATGTCAGCTGGACACAAAATGCGACATTTAGGTGCCAGGTCACTCATCTTTTTTTAGTGGCCTAATCTTTGCTTGTGTCTCACACTTGTCAGGTGACCGCTGGAGGAAAGAGTAAATCGGCCACCAATGGTAAGTGATACGGGGCACCAGCAGGGGGCAGTGTGGAGGAGACAACTGAGGAGTCAAGAAACATGTTTTTCTGCTGCTGGGTCTGAGAGAGGGTCATGTTTTCCTGCCACTGAGAGTTTGGTAGAATCATGGGCTGCAGTTTTGGTTTAATAACTTTTTTAGCTGCAGTTGCATCACAAGTATGACCAACAGATATGTATTAATCCCCATCTGTATTTGCCCTGTCTTAGAGGAATTGGGATGTGTACAGTAGTTATTGTAAGAGAGCTGTTTTTAATGTGAATTTTTAATGTTTTCTAAAAATGAAGGAATTCTTAGTTTCCTGGTTTAAACTCCTCTTTGTCTGTTGTATGACCAGATTTTTTTTCTTAGCAGGACACTAACAGCACCACCAGGTGGCAGGAGGAGAAGGCTGCACCCAGCAAGGAGATTCTCCCTGTCGCCACAATATGCATAAAATACCAAGCAGGGGATTTTCTGTAACCCTGGCGGGGAGATGGGGAGGGGGGTGGGGGGAGGTTCAAAAGGGATTATAAATGCATATTAGCACTGTATGTAAAAGCCCAGCACCTTAACACGTCACCGTAACGAGCCTTTGCACAAAACCTTTACTGCTCTTTGGAATCGACGCTGTGAAACTCTGGTCATGTTCACGTCTGATTTCACGTCAAGCCACAGAGGAAAACCAAAGCCGTGGTGAGTGGCGGCACAGGTTTGGCGCCGTGGCTGCGGTTTAACGCCCTCCTGTCCACGGCGTGGTATTCTGCCTTGAACCTTGCGCCAGCTGGCAGTGGTACTGATGGTAGAGACTCACGAAATACTTCAGGTCAAATATATAATATACGAAAAAATATCAGATAAAATATATGTTAGTGCATATATTTAGTCCTGATCTTTTGATTATATGTCACAGCTTTATTTCATATTTGTTCACCTTTTGTATGCAAACTTAATAGCCGCTCTTAGACGCATTTACAGAAATATCATTATTGAGGCCACTGTCCTCTGAAGCTTTATTTTTCACGTTTTACGAATGCGCAGTGGTTGTGCCCTCCTGCCAACAGAGGCATGGAGTGATGCTGGTTTTCTCGGTTAGTAGTGCTGTTGACTAATCTTTCTCTGCTCCTGGGTGCACAACAAAGACCGTGCCTGAGACTGCAGATTCCTCCCGGGTGAATGTGGGCCTCATCTGTTAACACCAGCCAGGACTGAGTATGCTGTGGTCCGCGCTGTGGGCATTTCTCATCATTACCGGATTGTTACATCTTTGCATAAAAATGACCGTGAATCAAAGATGGCCGCCCCATTATTACTACACCCATGAATATCTGTGCCAGGCAGGCAGCCTGGTCCGGTCTGGTCTGGTCTGGGCCTATCGCAGCTCAGAGCGGGTGCCTGCGAGCGAGAGCCTCCAGAGCTGAATAGAGGTTGTATTTCAGAGTAAAAATGTTCAATCTTGTGGTATTATCCCATTTCACTAGTGCCAGTTGTCTTACAGAGCGATACTGAAAGCCAGCACGTGGCAAAGGCTATCACTGTTTACACTGAGAAATCGGAGGATTTGGTGACGAAAGAAACAGGAAGTGCAGGATGGGAATGGATCAGGTACAGGAAGTAGGGCGGGAATTGCGTGGATGGGACAAACGGAACAGCTACAGGAAGTGCAGGATGGGAATGGATCAGGTACAGGAAGTAGGGCGGGAATTGTGTGGATGGGACAAACAGAACAGCTACAGAAAGTGCAGGAATGGATGAGGGGAGAAATGGATCAGATGGAGGAAATATGAAGTTAAGAATGCAGCAAGAGAAGAGCTTTGGAATATGCTGGTATTATTTTTAATCAAATTATTTAAACACTGAGATTTGTATTCAGGAAAATCTACCTTTTATATTGAAAACAAGTATTACAGGGGAAATATGTTCTAAATTATTTTAATAGGAAGTGTTATAGAGTAGACGTAGTTTTAAATGTTTGAGTGTAGAGTACAGTCCTGTACAATGCATCCGTGCGCTTTCTGGGACACATTCAAACTGGTCAGGTCACAGTATGGTCAAATGTGAGCTGGGCTGCCAGAATCCCTACAGCATGTCCAGTTCAGAAATATCCAGTGTGCAGTTTATAGTGACAACACTGCCGCGGATCGCTCCACTTGTTCGTGGTAAGAGTTGGGTGACTTTGCATTTATTAAGCAGATCCTGACCACTCACGGTAACAGTGATCTCTTTCTATTACAGACTGTCCTTTCCCCCCCCCCCCACATTATGAGCAAAGCAATGCAACTTGTGTCCTTGCAATATCTGCAGCTTGTGTTACTGTGTAAAAACTATGGGTATGTCTACATGTAGAGGATAGCTTAATGTCTTGAAGACAAATTACATCGACAATAAAGAGGAAACTGTCCAAAAGGGGGCTTCTGGGCTGTATTTCTGAAAGCATCTCGCACTATAAGCATCACCATCCTGACACGGTAATTAGTCCTGTAATTGTTAGCCACGAGTCCAGGCCCACCTGCGCACGAGCCAGGTTATGGACAGGTTAGTTACGGATTGCCTAATACTGCAGATGGCAAGAATATAACCAAGTATGGACTAGAGCCCGGGCTGAGACACCCCCACAGCAGCTAAAGGGAGACCGAGCCATTCTGGGACACGGCCAGGGCTGGACCGGGATTAAAAACCAGACCTTGACTTTGGAATCCCCCCACGATAAATTTTGCCGACCCACAAAACCATGGGCCCACTGGGAAAATGTCTGGGGATCACTAGTCCCTAGTGCCTGAAAGGTGAGGAACACGGGTAGTTATAACTGGGTGGAAACTGGGTTAAGCTGAACTGCTAGTTATATTACAGAGGAATTCGTCTGTTGAGGGCAGCGTTTCCTAACCTGGCCCGTGGAGACCCACAGATGGTCCACGTTTTTGCTCCTTTCCAGCTCCCTACCAGTCGGGAGCAAATATACTGAGTATTGGCAGAATCCGGGTGGAGGGAACAAAAATGTGGACTGTCTGCAGGTCCCCGAAGACAGGACTGGGAAACACTGGGTTAGGGGGGTGGTACTGTGACATGGTAGCATTCAGACTAGCTCTGCAGAAGGAAGTTCACACGGGCGAGAACAGAGAAGGGATTGAGAGCTGATGGATGGATGGATGAATGAAAGTTACATAATTTTTCAAACACCAACAGCACCTTACAGAACCAAAGGGCAGCCGCTTCAACCACCACCACTGAGGAGCAGCCAACCAGATGATGTGACGGCAGCCATTCTGTGCCAGTACGCTCACCACACTTAGCTAAGGTGGGAAAGGGGCAGGAGAGAATTTACCAGTTAGATATAGGGGATGGCGGAATGCAGGGTGGTTGGGGTGGGGTGTATAGCTCAGTGCGTTAAGTCTCTGTGCCTGTAATCAGAAGGTCACTGGTTCAAACCCAGCCTCACCATGTCTGCAGGACCTTGAGAAAGGCCCTTAATCCCTGGGTGCTGTCATGAGTGACTGCCCTACACAGTCAGTCAGGGGAGGTGTTATAAATAGAATTTTACAGATCAATAAAGCTCCTTACAGACCTCATACAAGGAGAAATAAAGGAAAGGGCTGCATCGCAAAGTTGGATTTTTGGGGTAGGAAGATAACTTGTCACATTTAAGATAGTCTGTAAGTGAACAAAGTCTATTTAATTAAAGCCAGTTTAAACACACTTTGTTCACTTACCTTTAGCCCAGGCTACCTTAAATCCCACAAGTTCTCTAACCAACAAATCACTACATGAGCACCAGCAGAGGACACCCTGGTCACAGCTGACTTTTGCATCTGCCACCTTCTGGCCTGTTGAACAAGAATCATCTTTTAATAGATTTTATATAGTTGCCTAAATGGTCAGAAATTGGGCAGATAACTTTAAGCTTGAGAGGCTAGATTCAGATCTACAGGTGCCTCTCTGCCTACATACCAGCCAGCATGCATGCACAGCTGCGGCTGCATGGGACCATGCAAGTCATGCAGTACCAGGATGACCCCCCTACAGCAGGTAGTCATGATCACCCCCCTCCCATGCCCTGCTACTGGTAGTCTCTGCCCTGGGTCCAAATGGGAAGTCACATGACTTTTAAAAATAAAAGCCAAAACCCTAGTTGCATGACTGAAAGCTGGGACTTGAATAACTAGCCAAAGCCAGGCAGTACTAATACCTTTATATTTCATCTTTAATATCAGCAAGAGTGTCGCCTGGCATCCCTGAAATGCATGTACGTCTCTTTCTTACTCGTGAAACGTGCCACCAGGCTGGTGCACGCACACGTCATGCCACTAATGCCGCAGCAAATCCGCACGGCGAATCGTTATGTTCAATACACGACAAATCACAATAGTGCATCTTTCATGTTGCCCACGCAGAGGCCGGAACATCGTCCAGAGGTAGGGGGGTCCGGCCGGGTTCACCACAGGTGAATCTCTCGGATCTCAGCGATGACTTGGCTAGCCTTCTGCAGGGCCTGGTGAGCCACAAGGTCAGGGGTCAAGACAGTAAAACAAACACAGTCACTTGTGGGACCTGAACCACATACTTGGGAAGCCCTAAAGGAAAATATATACACTGAACACAAGCTGCTCTCTAGTGCGTATAAACAGGCAGCTGGCCATCTCGCGCACCTTCAGCATATCTGAGGCCTCGCTGCGGCGTTGGGCCATGTCCTCGGACTCCGTCAACAGGTCGTCCAGCAGCCCTGACTTGTACAGCTGCCCCACCAGCTCACTCTGCAGACTGTCCTTCACATGGTTCACCAGGAAGTGCATCACGGCCTTGGGAACGCTGCGCAGATGGCCACACAAACACACATGCGTGTGACACAGTGGATGGTTCAAATGACACCAAAAACATTTTAAGCTAATCAAAGGTTACGGAAAAATCATTCATTACTTATCAATTATTACTGACCAAGGCTGCAGTCCAGCATCCAGAATAAAATGAGCACTTGTGTTGGACGACGGTGCTTTTGGATAAAAGCCCAGGAAGAGCATGCACAGTACCTGTCCTGGATATTCTTCCTAACGATGAGGAAATAGGACTTGATCAGCCTCTCGATGACCTCACAGTCCCGCTGCTCACGCGCAGATAGCTTCCTGGTGACGGGAACAGGCTATATGGGGGGCGGGGGGGGGGGGTTCCAGCCAATCAGACAAAATACTTTCGAAACAGATAACAGATTACATGCAGGGAGGGAGTAGGAGAGGATCTGAACTAGTCTGCCGTTTGCAGACATAAGGAAAATGGTGCTTCAGTTAGATATCCAGCTGGTCACACACATGCAGAAAAAGAAATCTGGAAAGAACTGGAATCTGGGCTGGAAAATTCCATGATGCTAGTGTTTATCTCTGATCTGGAGGCAGCTGGACACAACCCAGCCGGACCTGTCATTTTAAAGAGGCTCTTTGTCTCTCACCCACCCCCCCACCAATATAAAGTGTTGGAGATGTAAGAGAATGAGAGGGGAGATGAAGGTTGGACTGTACCATTACAGCAGATGGGGGGGAAGTGAGTGCATGGGGTTGTCATGCTATCATATAAACCTTCTATATCTCATTACGGTCCGTTTGAGACTCCCCTCCAAGAGAAGTCCATGCTGACTGAGATCTCTGCAGGATGCTAGAGGCACCTACCACGTCCAAAAGGTTGATGGCGTGGCCCTTCTGGGGACTGGCAGGGAGGGGAGCCTGGAGCCTGGCTTTGTCCTCCGCTGGGGCCTCATCACCTCTCTTCAGCATGCCCCTCCAGGTGCCCGTGCTGGTCTCTGGTTCGCCCTGAGGGTGGGAGGGATGGAGGCCATATTACACATCTGGCTGAAACAGTGCCACTTTGTGGCCAAAAGAGGTAGGACGGACAATGAGCCAGACAAAATGTTTTGCTGAAAGACAGTGGGAAGAGCCCCTGTTTCCCTGCTGAAAGACTCGCATGCATAAGAAGGAGGAAAGCAAGGCAGTGACCATCACATCAACAGTCCTCGCGGGGAATTACACGAGGAGTGAGGACCTGATCCTTATGGGGCTTCGGGGAGCTCACGTTCACATGCAGCACAGCACAACACACGGGAGCCAGGGGCTGCAGACATGAATTTGAAAGTGCTAACAGCGCCCCCTAGTGAATGTAAACTGTCAGGGACAAACGTGAGCCGCAGACCAAAACCATGACATCGGCATCACATGACTAAAGAGGTCAGACACTATGCACCGGAATCCCCATTCCGTGTCACACCAGAAAAAAAAAATAAAAATCAAAAAACAAAAATCAAGTTCCGGAAACAAAGGACACCACGTAAGTGGGGGCTGGAAGGCAGGAAAACCCCCGCCGATGACGATGACGTTGAAGGTTCGTGTCGGTTAAAGGGGACACGTCTCCACCGAGAACAGGGGGGTGCCATGCCAACGCCACAGAGCGGACGGTACACACACCTTGGCCCCCTCCTGCTCCGTGGGGGCCGGAGGCTCGCTGGAGGGTGGGGCCTGGCCGCTGGGACCCTTAAGGGACTGAAGAGAAGGTACAGGGTATTGGGGACAGCTGATATTGCAGTCACATGACCCTGCTGATGACCTCGTAACCACCCAGTATGCCCAGTGCAACCTGAGGTCACCTAACAGGTTAACTCAGACTCAGTCGGGTGGAGAGAGTGTCCTGCGAAACCCACGGATTAGGGTTATCCTCAGACAAAGTCATTCACCTAAAAATGAACGCGTTGAGCTTGCCCAAATGTCAGTCTGATTCATCTGCCAGTGAACGCAGGTCATGGGAAACTATCCCTGTGGTCTGTAAACGCTGCTGTTCCGGGAACAGCTCACTGGTAATGGTGGAACCAGGCCAATACGGGCTGTTGGGGGCGGGGGCGGGGGGTGGTTCCTACCTTGTCTCGGGGCACGGCTGCTGGCAGCTCTCTCATGCGGTTTCTCCTCTGCTCCTGAGGGAACGGAGGGGTGACGGACGAGCCAGGGTCAGAAGGGTGTCAGGTGTAAGCGTATGGATCCTTACACACAGCTAAAAAATATTAGCGCTGTGCTAAAAATGCGAACTCGAAGAACCACACATGAGGAGTTTTCACAGAGAATGGTGTATATATGATGGATCCTTAAGCACAGCTAAAAAATATTAGCGCTGTGCTAAAAATGCGAACTCGAAGAACCACACATGAGGACCTTTCACAGAGAAACCCCGCCCTCTTGCAGGATAAATGCATTTCCCCGGCTGGGCCAGTCAGCACTTACGTCTATGTTGTTATTCATCAAGCCACAGGCGTCGGCGAAGTCTGGGTGCTTGGTGTTGATGTACGCCAGCTCGATGGCCACCAGGTTGTGGACCTAGTCGGAGGACAGGAAGGTACCATACATGGGGCTGTCAGCTGCCTGTCACACGTTCATTCCTTTGATGAT